TGTCTTTAGGTGTCTATGGGCGACCTGTGGGCGACCTGGGCATGCCTATGGGCGGTCAGGATGGGCCTGACCATACGTGGGCATGCCCATGGGCGGGCCTTGGGCCAGGGGTCCGGCCCATGGGCGACCTATGTCAATGTCTAATGTCAATGTCTATTCAAGCATCCACAGTTTAATTTCTTCAACTGAATGTTATCCTTACCAAAATAGTTTAAAATATTGTTGCGACTGATGAATATTATAGTAAAAAGCTTATAAACAAGCACATTTCACATAATTGCATCATGGAATAGGTAAGAAGGTGGTGATGGTAAGTGTTTGGAACAAAACAAGCATAAAGAACAAAAATTAATTTAGATGAATCAGCGATCTATGCAAAAGAATCAGGCCAAATCAGGCCAAACAAAGTGTCTTTAGGTGTCTATGGGCGACCTATGTCAATGTCTACGCCAAATGCACCACTGACTCTTCACCTCGTACCGGCCTAGCTCGAGATGACCCACAAGATACTAACCAAGACACCACGTCCTGATGCGCAAAGCAAATGCAAAAAAGGCTATGGTTTCTCAATATCCATCACCATTGATTGTACTGCTCCTGTGGTTTCCTTATCTAACTTTGATCCCACATTTGTTTGTCCAATTATGAAGCGATGCTCCGAGTTCATTAAATCGCCAGATCTGATCCTTGTACTTGTTCGTTAGATACTAGAATCGACATCGTTAGTTAGAAGAGCTGACGTCGAAGGATAAGTATCCTGATACACAGATGATCCAGTACTTTGCACTTTTACTAATCAGATCTGGGTGTGACTGTCGGCATTGATCATCAAAGAGGGTGACTCCCACTCACATATTTTCGCTGTTTGCGTTGAGCATAAGCGAGCCTGTTCAACGAGAACTCGAACCAGATAATGACCAAAAACGACCGTCAAGCCTTCGAAGTTTCGGAAATTGTTATCATTGTGACGATTATTTCAATGGTTCTATGACATAAGTCTTGTATAGATGATGTCAAATTGACAACTACATATCTTCATTCTCGATTCCATTTCTACAACCACAGAGCATTCTACTCTGGCGCTTCAACTGCTCCGAAGGCAAAATGTCGCTCTTGCCACAGTGCAAGTTAATTCCCCGAGTGCTTTCATACCAGAAAAGATTCATTCAGCATACTACCCGGACCAAGACTGCTTCACAAACCCCAACCGAAACCCAGAAGCATGGATTCGATGCGACCCTAAAGATTCCCGAGTTTGGAAGGAAGTACGCCTCACACAAGCCGGTGCGGAGCAATCAGGTGTTTGCGTATTTCATGGTCGGGACGCTGGGGTTGATCTCGGCAGCGGGGGCCAAGGCCACTTTGCATGGTATCTATTCCAGCCCACATCTTTCCGAGATGACACTAATTGAGTAGATTTTCTGGTCAACATGTCCGCCTCGGCGGATGTATTGGCCCAGGCAAAAGTCGAAATTGGACTTGGAGCGATTCCCGAGGGGAAAAATGTACGTGTCTCAGGATGCAATTGGTAACGGCATGAGCTAATGAGACTAGGTGATTATCAAATGGCGTGGAAAGCCTGTTTTCATTCGTCACCGGACACAAGATGAAATTGACGAAGCTCGCAAGATAGACTGGAAGGACCTCCGTGATCCCCAACCGGACGAAGACCGCGTACAAAAGCCGGAATGGTTGGTCATGCTTGGTAGGTCGAACAGTCGATTCCAAACAGTGGACCAGGTTGACAAAACTTAGGCGTGTGTACACATCTTGGGTGTGTTCCAATTGGTGAGGCAGGTGACTACGGAGGCTGGTTCTGTCCGTGCCATGGATCCCATTATGACATCTCAGGACGGGCAAGGAGAGGCCCTGCGCCATTGAATCTGGAGGTCCCCCAGTATAACTTTGCAACAGAGGATAGTCTTGTCATTGGTTAGGTGGGGCCGGAAGAGGATCCATCATAGAATATTCATCAACGGTAATTTCGAATTGCTTCTATTTTTATAGCAACAAGGAATGAAATGGGTACAAGTAAAATCGAACACATCGGTAGCGTGGTACGATACAGCAGAAGAATCGAGCAATACGGATAATAGCAGGGACTAAATGGAAACGCCGATACGTGCTGAGGCAGCCACAATGTCTTTTCAGTCGTGAACGAAACTCAGATTCGGCATCATTACCAGGCCCGACGTCACGGTCCCCAACGCCGTTGGGCATTGACCTTGAAAACCGGTAAGTAACAGGATTCGCCAAAGTGCTTTAATATATACAGGGCGACAAATTAATCAGATACATTTTGTGGAGGAACGCCCCCTCGGGTAAAATTGATTTGGTCTTTAATCGATAACCAACACCTTTAAGTATGTCCTCACGACCACTTAGCAACGTAACGTCTTTGGCTTGATCAAGGAACAATTGACCAACCCGGAAGTTAACGTCGACGCTCGTGAGAATCAATTCTGTGACCGATTGACGATCAGCTACAATGTCCGATCGAGTGCTTAATGGTGGGGAATCTCATATTTCTTTCATTTTCTCCGGATCGTAGCTTCACCCATAAGATACACCATCAATGGCACAGAAAAGAAAACCTACCAACAGGGGGCATCTCTACCAACAAAGGAATTGCTTCTACATATTCCAGTTTGATAACCTGGGTGTCCAATTTTATTTAGAATTCTCCAATCGATGACTCGACGATCAAAGCAAAGAGACGAACGTCGGGATAGTGATGTATCTAATGTCGCCGCTGGCATATGACAAGGTTATTTAGAAAAAGGGTTGTGCAGGACGGCCTCGAGCTTTTTGTTACATTATGTAAGTTGTAAGGAGGCCTTTATACGTATTTTCGAGGGCTCTGCGCTAGCCCTAAAGCACAACTTTTATTCCTGATATCGCATTATTACTCTATGGCTGCTCAAAGTGCCCTCATGACTTGAGACACCCTAGCACCTCCGCTTCCTCATACTGAAGGAAAGGAGCGATGCGGTACTATAGATGCAACAGTTTTCATTGGAAAGACTCAGATACTCATCATTGAAGCAAAAGGGAAAGTAAAGTAAAGCGGGAAAGAGGAGCAAGAAACATTGTGGTCGACCAATCCATTTATTATGTTTAACGATAGACAATACAAAAATCAAAGACACAAAATTATATCCAGCTAGACGTGGAAACAGAGACAAAATTAGGAAATTGAGTTAAGAGAGCGCACCTCCTTTGCTCGCCATACCCAGCAAGCCTTCCGGAACTGATTTTGGAAGTCAACTTCAATCCGTTTTGACCCATCAAGAAGCACACATTTAGTTGTGAGCGGGCTTGGGCTTGGGGGCACCCTTGGGTTCCTCCGGGGGAGGGACATCGCCACGCTTGTGCTGGTCGTGGTCGTCCTTGGGGGGAAGATCCTTGGGATCCTTCAGAGGAGGGATGTCACCGCGCTTGTGGTGGTCGTCCTTGGGAAGGTTCTTGGGGTCTTTCGGGGGAGGAGGGATTTCACCGCGCTTGTGCTTGTCGTCCTTGGGAGAGCTCTTGGGGTCCTTGGGGGGGGGAGGAATGTCACCACGCTTGTGGTGGTCATCCTCAGGTGGGTTCTTGGGGTCCTTCGGAGGAGGAGGAATGTCACCACGCTTGTGGTGGTCATGGTCGTCCTTGGGAGGAGGGGGGAACTGAGGGACATCGCCACGCTTGTCATGTGGCAAGGCAACTTCGGCGGGAGCCTGCTGCCCGTTGTGCTGAAGGTCGGCTGGGCCTTGAAAGTGTTAGTATATAAATCTGCAAATTACCAACTCTGCAGAGCATAAACGTACGAGGGGCCGGAGGAGCAGCGGACACAAATCCGGCGACCATCAAAGTGGAAAGAACGACAGACACCTTCATGTTGGCGGGTTGGGGATTATTGTTGTTAAAAAAGGGAATTCGAAGTGACTGTTAGAGTTGGAGAGAGAATCTTTGTGAAAAGAGTGTTGGAGACTGAATTGTTGGTGATGAGAAAGAAGCAATGAAGACGGGCAGCCCTCTTTATAGTTTCCTGACTGCCCATATCCCATCCATCATGACTCCTTTATGGTATCATTACACTCCTCATGACAAGCCATTTGTCGTAAGGTGTCTACAGCCGTCGTCAGCCATTCTCCTAGCGATACTAGGTGCAGCTGACGTGGAGCACGTGCGAGCAAATTGCTAGAGTAGTCCATTGGACTGAATTGACGCAATTTTGGCCTGTACTGAGAGCATCTAACATCCGAGAGTTGCGGCATTATGAGACCGGTGGATCTGAATCTGGACGGATGATTCATCGGTATTATTCCATTGGGACATCTATCAACTCCTATTCTTGGGGCAGACGTCTGTTTAGTGCTCGCGCCGTAGCATCCACTATTGGACTTGGCCCATGTCTAGGTTGATGTTCGGTCCATCTGAAAGGAGCTAAGCCACGTCCTCAAGATGAGCCGATTCTTGCGGAGGATTGAACTATTTCGACAAAGGCAGCATTTCACATCGTGCTCGATCAGTACGATATCCCCCATGCTCATGCCGAGATTCCATGCAGAGACGCGTAGTACACATCACAGAGCATTCAAGTCACCTGTTCAATGTTATGAGACCTCGACTTTCCAACCTCTTTAGTGCTTCCATTACGATCAGCCTCTTCCAGAATGCAAGACTAGTGCCATAGCTTAATGCTGGCTCGGCAGTTTTCACTCCACAGGCTCCACTGGCTGCGTCGCCCTACGCCCCGTAAAACGTCTGGATCCGCATATTAATTGGGCCTTATTTTGGCCTAAATTTAACCAGCCAGAGAATGGACACGCGGCAACCGCCGATCGTTCCGTCCTGAGCCAGTCTTTTTGCAATGCCGATAACAAATCAGAAACTACCGTTGACAGCGTTTCAATCAGGCACCAGCAGTCATTGGCTATAAGTCACGCTAGTTGGTTTCGTCACCGGAAGCTTAGCATGTTGGCACGCTGATTATTTGCTGACGAATCGGAAGGTGACCATGATTCTCTCTCCGAATCTCCGGGTTGGAGCTCGGGATATTGTTGAGTCCGTTGTGCTTATACATTTCGGGGGAAACTTCGAAAAGGGGAAAGAAAGGGGGAGTATCATTGCTACGGTGTGATCAATCCATTCTCGCTGCCTGGGACTTTTCGGTACGCGTACAGAGTACAAGTACTGTAGGCAAGTCACTATGATCGTCACACAGCTGTCCTCGCTGTTGCTATGATTCGATGCTCGAACTCCCTTCCTTATACAGTACATAGAGGCGAGCGTTTATTCGGAAATCTAGCGTAGTATTAGTTCTTCATTGAACGTTTGTTGCAGTCTCATGAAAATCCAGACCGCAACCGACTACGACGACTAGTTTATTCAAACTGACCAACTTTCCGACTTATATTCACATCTGTTATCCCCGAGAAAGTGGTCTCCAATGGATGGCTATCCCCCGAGTGTAGCCAAAGCCGGAACGGGAAATGACTCGAGCATAAACGCCCTCATGGCCCGCTACTGTAGCCTACCACCAGCGGGATTGTGACGAGGCTCAGAAGGACGGGAGGAAAGTCTCATATTGGTGGCTGGTATTCGATCAGGAGAATAAGGAGCAGGATCTTTACATCTTTGGGTTCTTGGTTGACAATATTGACTGGTTTGTCTTTTGCGGCGTTCCCCTTCGACCTCACTTGTAGTTTGGAATCGGTCCACTACAGCTTTTAACAGCAGCAATAAATTGAAAGTGGCCGAAAGCATTTACGGCAACTAAACGAGCACATTCGCAGCTACTTCGATTGGGTATGAGACCATAAGTGCGAATGCGAATGTTGCCTGTCTTGTGGAATCTCTGCTCCCTGACACGGTAGCAGGATTTTCTTTTTTTTATAGTGGTCTTGTATCTAGTAGATGTGTACAGTCGCATGTGTCTCGCTATTGCCATTCTTCCCATGCCGAATCTCGGATTTTCCAGACGTCCTATCGCTGTCCGAGTCATAGTTAGCTGGAAAAGACCTCCATCAGCGTATGCAATAACAAAATACTCGCATCAATGCCTTAGAATGATCACCGAGTTGACATGCTGTCTGGAGCTCTCTCGACAGGGTGCGGTTTGGGATACTCAACGGAAGCAAAATACAGAGCATCTTGCACCCCATCGCAGCTGGACACTCAGGAACATTCTGTGTAGGATCGAAAGCAGAAAGGTGGGCATCTCAATCGTACACGACTCTGATGGCTTTGTCCGTTCAAAGTTGACATGTTCCATGTCGAATTAAGACGTCGTAGGGGCTATGTAATGAGCAACGAGTGTCTGCAGGCCTTCACCAACATGGTATCAAGGAGCTGAACTTCTTTCAACGGTCGCACATTATGGTTTTGTTTCGATACCAATGCAGTGACATTTACATGGCTATTCGATCATGTCCACTTCAGATATATATTTGGGCCGCAATAACGATGGATGTGCATAACGAGATACAGAATCCACGAAAAAAAGAAAGCGCAAGGCAAGCCAAATAGGATCGCTACGTGATATATATATCTATCATATTAATGTGAAGAGTATGTCGAAAAACAAGAAAGAAACTATACAAGTATTGGCCACTTTCCAAGTCGGGCAGTTGCCTGAATCTATGTAATTGCATAACACTCGATACGGTAACGGTCGAGGATATTCACATATCAACATAACATTATTATTTACCACCATGCACAGAGAACAAGGCCAGAGGCCAAAAGAAAATCATGTTGCGACTTGTTGCCTTGGAGTTGGCGCAGAAGCAAAAATGTCTTCTTCGGGCGTCTTGTTCAAAGTAAGTGTCGGAATGGTATTGGCGTGGGTCGGACCAGGGCCGCTGCCAGCAGCTTGTGCAGATTCGTCGTTAACTAGAGCATTCTGGACAGGCTTGCTCTGTGTGACGACTTCGTCTTTGAAAATAGATTTGTGCGCCAGGTTCATAAACTCATCGACTCGAATCGCAGCAGGGATGAGGTCATCAAATTTGAGCGAATGGCACCAATCATAGTATGACTTGGATGATCTTGAGTGCTCAAACTCTTTGTTTCTGCCCGGAACAAGAATGTTCAGGAGAAATTTGGCATTGCCGTATCGGTTCTCCGTTTCCAAGCAGGCTTGCAGATAAGCATGAGCAACATCTCTCCAAGGAAGCAAGCCGCCTTCCGCCTGGGAGCGGAAGCACGAGGGGTTGGCCTCGGCCGATGTGGCAATCATCGCTCCGTCTACATTGTATTCTTTCATCAATGCGAGGCCCTCGTCACGCGAGGTAACGTCTCCATTCATAACGCATGCAACGCCGGCCTCATGGCAAACATCGGCAATCATCGGCAATTGATCACGAATTGCTCGTTCACGGGGCCGCATTGGAGTCGTACGGCAATGGACTGTCAGTCCTGTAATTCCTGTCCTGACTAGTCGCGAAACTAGCTCCTTAGTTTCTTCGGGTGATTTTAGAATGCGGATTTTGACTGAAATCCCAATTTGAAACGGATCACCAACTTCCCTAACTAGCGCCTCAAGAATAGAGACTAATCTATCAGGTGTCCGCAACAGAGCGGCACCCATGCCGCCACATGTGCTGAACGGTTTTGGACATCCTGAGTTGACATCAATACCTGCCACATCCCCCGCTACAGACTTGGCTGCTGCCACAGCAAGCTCAGGGGAAGCAGTGCCAATCTGGAAAATCAATTTTCCTTTTTCACGGACCGGGTCGATGCGATAGATGACGGATTCTTTAGTAGATTTGGTGGTGCGCCCACCGTTCGAAGGAAAACGGGTAAACTCAATGTTTCCGTTGCGAGGATTCACACGGCGCGACGCACCGATGAGCGCCTGGTCGATCGTCTCCGGGCCCCATACAAGATCCGCACCATATTTGAGAGCGAGGAGACGAGACGGCAATTCTCCAGAACGAACCATCGGGGCCAGAACGATTTTGCCACGGTAGTCTACCCCGTTGGCGGGGATGGGAACTCGAGCGGGAGAAGTCATGGCAGTCAGTGCAGAGCGAAGAAATTTGAACATATCATTCTGTGATTTGCCCGAAGAGGCGAGACAGAACACCACTGTGTACGCCGACTTTTTCTGACTGCTTCGGAGGTGCGGCCTACTGCTGTGGCGGTGGCATGTGGCTGTGCAATGTGGCTGCACGTTCGACATTATTATCTATAGAAGCCCAAGTATATGTTTGGTTGGTTGTATTGGATTATCGCTGGGGTGGATGCATATATACACGTCTAAGCATGGTTGGACATGTTAAAAACACCGGAGCGACTGATGTTCGCTCCACGCCCAAGAATCCGGGCAATCTCCTCTTTCTTGAGTCCCGGAGCCCCATCGTGAAACTGTACGAACAAGATAGCTTCCCCAGATGTTTCCACAGGGCTACCACCCGATACTGTATGCCCATTTTGCTCAAGTTCACCCCGCAGTCTTTTGACCGCTGCAGCAAACTGCCCCAATGATCCTTCCTCCGGAGTTCGCAGCCATAAAATTGTTGTCAATTGGTTCGCAGATTGCGGATCGGCCAAAGTCACGTCCAGAAAAGATGACGATGGTGGAAGGTGCTTGATCTCAAGGAAGTCATTGCGTTCTGTATCACACATCGAAAGAAGGGCGTCGACCATTTTCGAATACGGCTCCGATTTGGCCATGAATGCCTCGTGGTCGAGGAGGTCGTTCCAATCTGAAAAGTACGTTAGAGAGTCTGATCGCTCCATGACAGAGGCACTGTCCCTTCATACCGATCAACCAGACCAATAATTCCTCCTCGATCATTGACCGGCCTTCCTGCAGTAGCCTAAACCCAGGCTGACTGGTCAAGATCTTGATGCCGGTGGTGTATTTGTCATGATTCTCTGGGGTTGAAAGATCAATTCCAGGCTTCAGGCACAGAACTGTAACTTCACAGATTTCCGTCATCATAGCGAACCGGCAAAGAGCAAGATATGCGTAGTCTGACACGGCGTTGTGTATTATTCCTGCTGGGCGGATATGTCGCCCGGATTCTCCGAAATTCTCCGCATTTTTCTCTGTGCCTACTTTCTGATCGCAAAACAGTGCTTGACGCGACTTCTCCCTGATGCGCGGATATGTATTCGCACAGCCGGAGGCTATGGGCTGAGTTTGTCGATTCTGAAACCAAGAAACGCAGTCGACCTACTTTGTAGATACTTGTTTGATAAGGTACTGGTGCGTGACTAGCACAGCTGATGCTCCGGCTTTTCCTCAATGCCCCCCGCGCTCATATAGCCATATCGCAAGTAGACAGTCGTTTGGAACAAGGCTAGGTAATCCATGGTTTGTAGGGATAGCGATTATCAAGCACTGATGGTGCCGAGTACTTTGCTATCCACATCCGCATCACCCGTTCAACGCTCGGCAAATGTCCACGAAGGTCCCTGTGACTTATGATATAAATTTGTTCTCTCCCACGTCCAGACCTAGCTGCTCTATTTACTTGACAAGCCGATAAATCTGTCCGTTCATTTCTCGCGAGAGCTTTCTTGATCAGGGAATTGTTTATCTACCTCCGCCATGATTGCGCCGCTTCTCCTCCTAACCCCTTGCTCCCTTTTATAAGAAGCCTTCGGCAGGATGAGGGTATATCCAGCTGCGCGAAGATGTAAATGTCTATGGGTGTTCTAATTCTATCATCACAGTCAATGTTCAGCTTTCAGAGATCATGTACTACGGACGGGCTTGCTAACCGGACACAGAAAGTGGAGATGTCGTTTTACATGCATTTATGCAGCGTCGATGCTTTGCATAGCGGAATACTCCGTCGTGTCTCAACTATCAGCACATCGCGACAGAAAACCAAGAGTCCTGCAAAGCATATTGTCCGGATTTATGGCATTCTATAAACTAATCAAATTTGAAGCATTGTCAAAGTATAATAGGCCGACTTTTGCTGCCGAATAGCATGCTATTACCTCGGATAGCCTCTGCATGCGGGGGGAAGCATTATCGACAAAACATGGCGAAGATCCCTAACTATACGCTGCAGTCCGTGAGACTGACTATCGGGATTTTTTTGTATGTGTTGTGCTGGTCAAGCCCGAGTCCAGCAGCCGACAGAACTCCCGAAAAGCAGATAAGCTTCCTTCTACGAACCAATCACCGTCCCGGCCACTCAATCGGACGACTGGATCTGCCCGTAATGGTGTTTAAACCTCCCCGCAGAGCCAGATCCCGGGCACCGATGGGCCCTTTTTCCTTCTTGTGTTTGCCATTCCCCACGGGGGCAGCGGGGTAAAAACGGGGGAAGGATATAGGAGTTGGGTGCTGAAGAGACGAATATAAAAGCCAATACTCGAACCACGGAATTCGTTTCTATCATCCATTCATCTACTTTCTCATTTATTCATTCATCATGACTCAGTCCACCGAAGCACTGGTTGTCCACTCTCTCGGGGCGGACCCCGAATTCACCTCTGTCACGCTGGACAATTTGCAGCCAGGAGAGGCCCTCGTGGAGGTTCATGCCACGGGTATCTGCCACACGGACATTGCCTGTATGGAAGGAAAGCTCCCAGCACAGTTCCCTAATGTGCTTGGACACGAAGGTAGGCGCCAACACTCATACTATTTTTGGGAAACAATGGTTAAGTGAAATGTGTAGGCGGCGGTGTGGTTCTCGAAGTCGGTTCGGCCGTGAAAGATGTCAAGAAGGGAGACAAGGTCCTCCTCAGTTACAATTTCTGCGGAGACTGCCCACACTGCGCAGACGGTCATCCGGCATACTGTGAGAGTATGATCCCGTTGAACTTTGGTGGTAAACGTCTGGACGGAACGCAGACGGTCTCTCTGACCAAGGACCCCTCGACTCCGCTGTTCGCGAACTTCTTCGGTCAAAGTACATTTTCCCGCGTCGCCCTCGTTAGTGGATCGTCTCTCGTCCGCGTTCCCGACTCGACACCGTTGGAACTTTTTGCTCCCCTCGGATGCGGTCTGCAAACCGGCGCTGGTTCCATCTTCAAATCCCTCAACGTCAAACCCGGAAGCAAAGTGGCCGTATTTGGCGCTGGATGCGTCGGGCTGAGTGCAGTCATGGCAGCCAAGATCCGCGGCGCTGCTATTATCATTGCAGTGGACATCCAACAGGACCGTCTGGAACTGGCTCGTGAGCTTGGCGCAACGCACCTCCTTAACGGAAAGGACGAGAATCTCCTGCAGAAGATTCAGGAACTGTGTAAGCCGGGCAAGGGCGTGGATTATGCGTTGGACTGCTCGGGTGTGCTCAGTGTGATCGAGACGATGATTCAATCGCTGGGGATGCGAGGACGAGCAACAAGTGCCGGTGCTCCTGCGCCAGGGCAAAAAGTAGCGGTGGATGTATTTTCACATCTTGTCACAGGGCGAGAGTATGTCGGTTGTCATCAGGGAGGAAGTGTTGCGGCCGAGGTATGAAATTTCTTGTGCACATATGCTTCCAATACCATTGACTAACGAGAAATCCAGATGGTCCCGTTCCTCATCGAACAACACAATCAAGGGAAATACCCGCTTGAGAGGTTGATCCGGTATTACAACGTGAAGGACGCACAGCAGGCATTCCAAGACATGAAGGCTGGAAAGGTCCTGAAGCCTGTACTAGTTTGGACCGAATCTGGTTTACAGAATTAGGATGCCAAGAGCGTAATATATACTCATACTTTTTTTTTTTTTTTTTTTTTTTTTTTTTTTTTTTTTTTTTTTTTTTTTTGGTAATTCATAAAAATCCATGAGCATTTTTAATGATATCGAAAGACAATAATATCCCTCTTATGTCATGTTATAGGATGCCACAAATTCTCCCTTACATATCCAAAAAATCTCAAGACACTATCGCACTATCGTATAGAACTATCCGAGCCAACTACGTATAGAATGAATGACTGGCATCAGGATGGAACTGGCAAGTGAGGGTCCTGAAAGTCTCACCGTTCTAATATTCGAGTAATCATCGTGTCTTGTAGCTTTTCATTCTATGGGAATCAATAGAATAAAGCTAAAAGTTGAGATGAAAGCAAGGCCTGCAACCACAGCTCTAAAAAATTTTTGATTTAAAATCGAACTATAATGAGTAAATCTATAGTCGATTCCAACACTATGGAGGGAAAACGGACCATGTGCCAAGAAACTCACTGTCTACTGCACTGAATAAACATCTCGGAGTAACACGAGTTACTATTTCGTCCTTATCCTAATCAGGAGAACGTTTTCTACCTAGACACTGTAATGGTAGGCCGTAAACCCCAACGTGCTGTCGGGGAGAAGCCACTGCATCCGGATCAGCGAGACCACGTCGAAGAATGATGTCGAAACTATGATGATCGACAATGAGCTCCGGAATCGTCCTTGGATCAAGCTAGTGCGCACTGAGACTTACAGAATAATATAGTCCATGGTTTGGCCATCCGTCCATTGCCGGTGCAAATACAGAAGACAACCCGACAAAATTTGATTGAAATGGAGGGAGGTTATTCAAAATTTTGAAAAAGAGTGTTTTGACGGTATGACCATTGTTTCTACAGAGAAAACATGTCAGCATTGAGACCAGATATACTCAGGAAGGTGGCTGGCTGACTATGACGGCCATATAACAATTGACCGGAGAAACGGAAACATGCTATGCTAAATGATGAGGAGATTACAGAGCTCAGTTCTGCTGTAACCATGGATCTTGACTAGTCCAAGCTGATGCAAAAGTACCATTGTCTGAATGGCTCGGTATGTATGTTGGTATGCTTCTACTTTCAGCCAGCCCCAATTTCATTAACCCGGCTGGAGCATAGTCTTCAACGTCATGGATACCAGCTAGCCAACGAGCAGAATCCCCTCAGTCCGGTTTCAGGAATCAGCTCGCTGACGAGGATCTGATACAGTACGTTCCAATTGCTTTGCGATCCGAATGCAACATAGGAATATGGTTATTTGTACCAAGTGGCCAACAGTTACCGCTTAAAATCCATATAAGATCTTGCTTTTGGGTGAGAAAAAAGACCATAAGTTGCACTGGCTATCCTGAGATTCTGAAAATTGTGTTCGATATTCGACATGAAATGTTCTTGCCTGTACAACATCGCCCTGCTTGCCTCCACGGCGCTCTCCCAACATGCCCAGGTCCCGTTTGACTCCGGGAAGACCAAGCAATCCTCCGATCAGCCAAAGCCCATAACCCCCGGAGTCATCAGAGATCCCTATTTGGTGGCTAACACGACATATGACTATGTGATTGCCGGAGGTGGCCTCACCGGTCTGACTGTCGCCGCTAAACTGCTAGAGAATCCAAGCACGAACTTCACCGTCTTGGTCATCGAAAATGGCTTCTATGGATCCGAGTACGGCCCAATCATCGATGATCTAAACACCTACGGTCAAATCTTCGGTAGCAGCGTGGACCATGCCTATGAGACGAGTCCGCAAAAGGTCAACAACCGCGTGGAAGTCATCCGATCTGGTAACGGCCTGGGAGGATCGACTCTCATCAACGGAGGAACATGGACCCGTCCGCACAAGGTCCAAGTTGACTCGTGGAGTAAGGTCTTTGGAAACACGAAGTGGACATGGGATGAGCTCGATCAGTACATGAAAGAGATTGAGAAGCCCCGCGACCCTACCAGGGACGAGACCGTTACATCTGGTGCTTGGCATACTTATAATCCCAAATGTCACAACGAACACAATAGTACCGGTCGAGTATCGGTCGGTGCTCGTGACCGAGATCGAAATTGGTCCCAGGTCATCCCGGCTCTCATGCGCACCGTCAACCACACCTATCCCGATGCACCAACCCAACAAGATCTCTGTTGCGGCAATCCCCGAGGTGTCTCGATGTTTATGAATACCTTGACTGCCAAACAGGTTCGAACAGATGCGGCCAGATCGTGGCTGGGTCCGGTTCTGGAAAACAAAACGACGAGGAATCGCATCACTGTCTTAACTGGACAAATTGCCGGGAAGGTGAACCTCGAGAAGAAGAAGGACCCGAAGGGTCTGTACAAAGCTACGGGCGTGGAATATGGTGTCCATAACAAGGAGGACTGGCGATGGAACGTGACGGCTAAACAGGAAGTGCTTCTTGCTGCCGGTTCATCCATCTCTCCGTTGATCCTCCAATATTCCGGAATCGGGCCTAAGCAAGTGCTCGAACAGGCCAATGTAACACAGAAACTCGATCTCCCCGTGGGCTTGAATCTCCAAGACCAAACTACCACCAACGTTCGATCCGAAGTGACTGCCCAGGGAAATGGTCAGGGGCAAGCGGCCTTCTTCGCTACCTTTGCTGAAGTCTTTGGACCCGATGCAAAGGAATACGAAGGTCTCTTGAACAACGACGATAACCTGAATAAATGGGCGGAACAAACCGTCGCTGGTGGTGGTTTCCACAACAAAACACTACTCCTTAAGCAGTATCAGAACTACCAGGAGTGGCTTCTTAAGGACAATGTCACCTACGCCGAACTCTTCTTAGATACTGACAACCGCATAAACTTTGACCTCTGGGATCTTATCCCCTTCACTCGTGGATACGTGAAAATTCTCGACAAAGACCCGTACCTCCGCAGCTTCGAGTATAACCCCCGATATTTCGAGAATGAACTGGATGTTGCTGGCCAGGCCGCCGCTTCGAGACTAGCGCGCACGTTGTCTCGAACACACGAGATGGCCAAGTACACTGGGAACGAGCTTATCCCAGGTCATCTCCTGCCGATGGATGCTACACTGAACGATTGGAAGCATTACGTCAAACAGAACTACCGTGCCAACTACCACGGTGTTGGTACGTGTTCGATGATGTCGAGGGAGCAAGGTGGTGTGGTCAATCAGAAGGCACAGGTGTACGATGTTGATGGGCTCCGTGTTGTCGACGGCTCGATTCCCCCAACGCAAGTTTCTTCGCATGTTATGACGGTGTTCTACGGAATGGCTGCCAAGATTGCACAGGCAATTATCGATGACTACGAAGGCTAGAGCAAGATCCAATATCTCCTCTCCTGACAGAATGTTGGCGCCATTCTTGTATCTATCATCAGTCAATGTGTGTAGTTGTAGGCCATTGTGTTCGCAGGGCCAATAATTGGCACAGTTTTATGTGAGTTTTATGAATATGATGTTGAGATATTCTAAATGAGACCAAATCTTCCTAAATTTGTAGTCTGCAGCAATGATACGTACTGATACAACATACTATGCTCACCCCAGCGCTGGTATACAACAGGCGGACTTTAGTGAGGTCTGCTATCATGAGAGTCCCTGAGTCCAGTACACCTTGCTCATTTCGCTTAGCCTGACGAGGTCACATCGGTGCAGATGGCCCCCAGTCAGATTGAATGTTTTTATCAAGATACATGAGGTCCTGAGAGTTTTTCGTCAGCCCCAATTCCATTTGATTTGTTTTTTCAGTGGTATCTTAAGCCCCACCGGAGCCGGCGTATGCTCGTTGGTAATTGATAAGATTCAGTGGCTTCCTCAAGGCCATTTGCCAGGGTATGAAGAATGGGAAGTCCTTCGCGGAATCTTTTAACTATCGACATGATGACCAAGAAGAGTGTGTTTGTCAACTACGATTCTCGGAAGAATGTCTTAGGCACTATTTGGAGGGGAACAGAGGAAATCCTTGGTCGAGAAGACTATCTATCGTATGGCCTGTTTCATAAACAATGTGGTGGCCATCGATCTCACTACTAAAGGAAATCATGGCGAAAGAAGTTCAAAGAGAAAGAAAATAATGCAGAGTGCATAACACATGTATGTGCTCGGCCATAGTCAAAGGATGCTGGCTGCATAGCTGTAGCCCCCCGATACTATCATATTTCTATCATAACTGCCGTAGACCTGGTTGGGCATCGATAATGCACTGGTCGTAGAGGCAGGAGCCAGGTTCTAATTAGTCAGTCGGGCAGCCAATTACATCGAAGCAATCCAGGCCATATACTGAAGTCAACAGAATTGACCGGACTATTCCGTGTCACACCCTAAAGCCAGGGTGGTCAAGTAGTGGGTGACTTTTCTTGGTCAAAAGAGCATTTACAGGCGTAATAGCAGCCCTGCCAAACTAGGCAAAGCTTCTAGAACGTTGAACCGCGGGCCCTCTCCGCGGCCGGGGGCGACCGAGTCTGTTAAGATTCTTACAGCGGAACCGCTAATGCTGCACACATGGCTCCTTGGACACAGTGATTCGCCGGAGGTTTCTGAAATCAGCATATTAGGGCTAAGGGCTTGGGGTTGGCGGGGGAAAAGTTTTGAAGCCGAAGTCAAGACCCGGTTTAAAAGTTGCATTTGCTCCCCGCCCCCGCGAGGAGGTTCCATTGGGGTCGTTTTGTTTATTGTCCTTTTTGTTTTGGCTGTTCGGTGTGGACAATGATGCGCGTGCTCCCCGACGACGTTTTGCTGTTAATCGGGGATTTCCTGAAAGGTCATCAGGACCGCTACAACCTGGTGTTTGTCTGCCGTCGCTTCCATAACTTGTTCTTGCAACTGGCTTATCGGGCAGCATCATTGAAATCCTGCCAGCACCTTCAATCTTTTATCTGCTCCAACCTACAACGTCCCGAGCTGGCTCGGGCCGTACGCGTTCTGCATTTTGACTGCTGGCAGGACAAGCCGGCTACAGGCCATGTAGATATTGCTGATGAGAAACGCCCGCTATTGACTAACTGGGTCCGGACCATCAGTCAATCAGACGAAGAGCGCGCTCAATGGGAGCAGGATCTCCAGCACGGCGTGTCGGAGGCATGGATTGCGCTGCTGCTGCCGCTCATCAGCAACCTCCGCCGCCTTCGTCTAATATATCCCAAGAACAACGCCTATCTCGACCGCACTTTGTACCGCGCCGTCAACGGGGAACGTCCGACCTTCCGATCGCTACAAGAAGTGTCGTTGAGTCATCTGGAGGACGACGCTGATGACACCAAAGGCAACTTTCTGCCGTCACAGATTCTGTCCTTTTTCCAACTGCCGCTAATGCGCACCCTCTCCGCTGATGTGGTGTTGGAATCCGATTCAGCTCTGGAAGCCCGGGGGTTACCTCCGAGCAGCCCGCTCACCGACTCGCCCTCGTCCATTTCGGAGATAACGCTGAACGCCAGCAACGGCTCGAAGGGCATGGAGGGCCTAATCGCCTCCTGCTCGTCGCTCAAGACATTCAAATACCAACACTCGGATTCCCACCTCCACGCCGAGGGTTACCAACCGTCCGCCTTCTACCACTCCCTAGCCGGCAGCAAGAACACGCTGGAGACGCTCTGGCTCGACACCTGCGGCCACCACCTGCCCTTCACCATCGCGGGCGCCAACGAGACTCACGACGAATGGTTCGGGTCCCTGGCCGATTTTGTCGCGTTGAAAGACATGCGAATTCGCCTCCCGAACCTCCTCGATGTTCGCTACCAGTTCGAACCATCGACTTCGCTCTCGGATATCCTTCCCCGCTCGCTCGAATCGCTCTATATCGAAGGCTGCAAGGAGAACACACTGCTGATGCTGTTAAATCAGGTGCGGATGGTGCTTGGCCAGCGCACCTCGCGCTTCCCGGCACTCCGGCGAGTAGATATTGAGGGTTTCTTCCACGACGGGGAAGACTACGAAGGCTCGGGATATGATGGTAGTAGCAGCACGACTGAGAAGTTCATCAAGCCGCGGGTCTACGAATTGGCGAAGCCAGTACGAAATAGCTGTGCTGAGGTTGGAATCGACCTGTTTCTTCGGGATAGAGTGTGTCTGGAGACCATGAAAGGATCTCCTGTTTAATGTTTCATGACCAGCTGATAGATTTCTCTGCTTTCTCTTATAGAATACCCTTAACGTTAGATTTCTTCACGGCGCCACATTCTTTTTATTTGCACAATGTTACGAAGCCCATACATCAATTTGCATACCAATTTCTACATCTCATGATCACTCCTAGTCCTGGCATCGGAGATGCTACGGTCGGAACGACTGCACTAACGGCGATAAGTTCATAACTTTGACGTCAATTGCGTTGTCTAACGTCCGTTCTGCTTCCAGCCCTGGTTCTTTTCTATATCCACGGAAGGAGGATCAAGGAATGGAGCCGATTCAATCCTACGTAGGCTGCATATATGTGCATTTCATGTATGCCGTATATGCACAGCACTGTGTTTATAATTTCGCAGCCTCAAAATCCCATTCTGTAGTACACAGCAGGAACGTATCGCGGAGAGCCTAGTCAATTAGCATAGAGACAATATATTCAACAAGGCGAACTCACCGATAATCGATGCTTCTCATTGATGGCCTGATAATCCTCACCGGCAAGCATATCACAGAAATGTCGAATAGATGGATAATGCACGATGGAGATCTCATTCCACCACTCCTGCTCCGGCCGACTGCAATCGCCCCGGGAGTCAAGACCATCGTTCGTGGGCCTAATCACATTCCCAACCAGTTTGGCATTCCCTCCCCGCTTTCCAGCAACAGGAATAAACGCCTGGCCGTATTGGTAATAACTCTTCTTTCCATCTGGATAATGAAAGTGCAACAAATTCAGCATGGTCACCGGCTTATCGCCATACTCCCGCGTCAACTTCTCCATAAACGCGAGCAACTCGGGCGACACCTCGAGATTCTGCGACGTTGATCGAGACTGCGACTGCGCCTTTTCCAGCGATCCAGTCAATGGAATCGAGGACGTCTCGTGCTTCAGCTTCTTGTCGCGCTCGGCATATGTCATCAGGAGCTTGGACGGGATCCCGACCAGAATTTTGTACTCGTCGCGGACAGCGGATTGCAGGTCGGTTGGGAGGACGGGCTTATCACCCGGGATCCGGAGGACGGTTAACAGATCCCATGGGTGCGAGGTGAGAGCGTTTTGGTCGATACGCGACGGGTGGATCACAATGTGCTGAGGGCACGAGGAAACGACGACTTCGATTCGGTGCTCGCGTAGACGCTGGAGGAAGGATTGCGGAGGTATATTGAGAGAGAAAAGGTGTAGCGTTAAGGCTGGCATGTTGTGCTATAGACGTTTGTACTTTCGATTGTGTTCTGCTAGAGCAAACTGGACATTGCCGAGGTTATATCGGGGTATGTGACGCCATATATAATGCAAAGAATACAATGTTCATCCCATTAGCATATGTTTCTTTCAAAGCTTAGAGAGGCAATCCTATAGTCGACTCTATAAATTTAGTGCTCCTTCAAAATGTACAGTGAGTTATGTACGTACATATATCATTTTGGTGTACGCGAGTAGTTGGATGGATTGGGTGCCTATCGGCCAAGGCTAGCTATATGTCGAACTACCGGGCAGGAATCGAGGGCGGTCAAACACGTGATCCGGTGGGTACTGATAAGGAATAACATCGGACCGATTAGGCAAGTTCCACCGGCCTGATTATAGGCCAACGTATACGCACCTTTTAGATAGACAAGCACTCAACCAGCCATGTGTGGGTATACGCGTTAATAGGCAATGCACTTCTCTCGTTAAAATTGGACCTCTCTGTATACGACCTCGTTAGTCGCAGATAATCGACTCCTCCGGACCTCCGACCCCCGATCCCCATTTCAGGTACTAACTAACAAGCCAGCCACCTTCCCAGTCGGGAATCCGTAAACTTCTCTCTATCTCACATCTCGGCCCTATTCCTGGACCCTGTACAACGGAAGATGCAGGCTTTTATCGTGAGGCCTATACGTGAACGAATAATGGCGAATCGATCTCTACAATCCAATGCAAGTCGTGATTCAAGTCGCGCGCGCTAAATCAAGCGCGTCAATTGGCCGCCGGACGTTCTGTTTATAGCATCCCCACGATGGTCCCGGATTTAATAGGAATACTTAGTTTTTGACATTCCAATGGGATCTGAACTGATAATTTCAGTTCGTTGTCATATTTGCCAATGTCAGTCAATCGGACAATTTCGAAAGATTCCACCATCACCATCAGCCCGGACAGCTTACCCCCGAAGCAGGGTAGCATCAACGGTGCTCGCCGGCTGATTGCATGGGCTGCATTTGTTGCAATAGTCCCCCTTCTCGTGGTGGTCGGGATTATTGTCTATATTCTAGTCCATTATCATGTCCCCCGCAAAGCCGATGCAGAGCCAACCCTACGACTTTTCAGTGACCAGGATGATCCCAGCGTCTTTCTGGTAGATATCGATTCCGCCCGGTTTGTCACCATTTCCAGCGTTGCGAGCACTGTTGTGGCATTGTTGCCAGGGTTCATTATGATACTGTGCTCGTTTCGCCTGGCCAAGATGTTGTCAGACACGATGCAGGAAGATCGAATCGCTCAATTGCCTACGCCATACCAATTTGGACTTTTGATTGAAGTCATGAACTCTCAACTTGTCTCGCTGTGGGATCTTATTTGCTACAGCCGTTGGAAAAAGATTGCCTTGAGTCCTGTGTTGCGGATGGCGGTTGGCTCGCTGGTTGTGTCCTTGTTTCTAAGGTAGAACTCACGCTCATTGCAAAAGTAAAAATAAAGGCTAACAGAACAGTTATGCAATCTGGGTGGCTGACACTTGGCTCCATATCGTCACCGAAGCCACTGTCATATCCCAAGTGACACCCATGGACGCTCCAAACCACTCGCTAGGCTTTGATTTCTTTTCCGAATGTGCGGGCGTCCATGACGATACCAAGCAATTGCCTGACATTTGCGTGCGTCTTATTTACGCTGTAGTAGATAGATCAGCGCAGCCATATTTGGTCGTCAACAACTTGTCCGACACTTACCAAGTCAGGCAAGAGGCTTTAAATGACGAAACCTTTTCGTACCTTGCCCCTGCCTCGTCCCCGGCAAACATCGACTACCAGGCCCATACTCTTGCTGCTAGCAGTCATTGTGAGCCCTATACTCAGCAGTGTAATGTCCACACTTTGAATGATACCACAAGCATATTCAATTGCTCGGACAACTTTCACGGAACCATGACCCAAGGAGACGCCTTGAAAGGAACAGCCTGCAGCTCGGAAGGGTGCATGAAGCTGTTTACAGATGCGGATCTCAACCACACAGCCAACATGAACACGGCCACACCGTTCTATGCCGGAGTGATAGGGAATTTTCACCCGACCCAGGTTACTCTGGATAGCACTCTCACCAATGACTCGCAGGTCATTGTCAATAAAAACCATTGGGTGTTCATGTTGCGCTGCGCCGTGCGCGTCCAGGATTTGACGTACTCGTTTGTCAATGGCTCGATGACGACAGCCGAGCTGTCGCCCGCTAACGATGATGTCCGCGCCATGTCAAGCCGATTTCCGCGTCTCGACACCGTTCTGATAGAGCTAGGAAATATGCTGCAGGTAGCCACAGCAGTGAGTAATACGTCACAGGAGATTGCAGATTACTACTCGACATCGCTGGAGGCTTTGACGCTCGCCTCGACCGCGAACTTTTTCAAGCCATCGCACTGTCTGAAAGAGCAACTTCGGGAGACCGTGCTGGTTACGCGGGTTCCCAAGGCTCCTTTATTTTTACTCGGATCATTATGTCTGCTATTTGTCGCACTTAGCATAACACTGACAGGCACAGTGATATGGGAACGCCCAACACGATACCGTGATATCCAGGCACGTTTAAGTATCTTCGGACTTGCAGCCAGTCGGTTCGAAGCTGGCGCTGGTCGACGAGTGTCTGATATGGAAGATTTATTTGGAGAGAAGCGAGTTGGCAGCAGCCGTGTGGGTATCACGATGACCCCGGATGGAGGATGGGATTATTTTTCGGAGGTATAGCTATAAATTCAAAACAATATATTACGATTCACCATTCCAATGCACACTAGACTCAGCCAAATATACGTAGAAGACGACTCGAGTGCACCCCACCTTCGGAGAATCGTCATGATAGTCGCAATAACCGTCTTCGAAGCAAAATAACGAGGAAAACATGATCAATGGTTTGGACAGTATTATCAACACTTTTTATCGTCTCTTTACTTTCTAGAACACAGGAGTACAGCCCTGTCATCCCACGGTCTGGCCGCCGGGGCGAGTATGCGAGGGAATTGTGCCATGCTAATGCTGGGATTTTTTTTTTTTTTTTTTTTTTTTTCTCGGCTTTTTTTGAAGGACAAACGTTTTCTAGGTCGTTTCGTTGGGCAGAGATGCAACCTTGGAGAGCACATCTTTATGGGTTTCGACTTGTTGTTTTTATATAGCAACAGCATCAATGCCCCTGAATATTCTAAGTCAATAGTAGTCTTAGTATACACGTATTGCCGTTTCTTCTTGGTTTTTTTTCAGCTTAGATACGTTTATATTGGGTTTCTGAGAATCTATGATCGTTAGATACCAGCACCGATGGGCCGCAGAAAACCGGGTACAACGCCTATGCCAGAGCCATAGACTCGCCCTGGGACTAGCTCGCCAGGTTCAAGTGGCGGCAGTGCAGTCAGTAGCTCTATATAGAGCAGATATCTGGTGGCAGGGCCAGAAGGATCGGCTAACAGGCATACAGCTGATGATCAATCGACCGGCCCGTGCTATCACCGGCATGTTGAAAACCATTTGCATGGCAAGAACCAGGGGGAGCTTGGAAGACCCAAAGGATCTGTAACTGCACTAGCTTGCAGCTTGAAGAATCAGGCACACATAGATAAAGTGGTCGGCAAGCGAGTGGGCCACCTAACCACTTTTTCGCATCCCATTCTATATATCTATTTTCTATCAACCACTATGCCTCCAAATCGCGTCAGATCGAGACAGGATTCTATTCAGCAAGAAGGCCGCCTCTTGATTGCCATACGGGCTTTAAAAAGAAAAGAAATTAGCACTATTCGCCAAGCCACAGACCAATTCCAGGTCCCCTGTAATACGCTCACGCGTCGACTATGCGGTAATACAAATCTCGCTAAATCTCGTGCAAATGGCCATAAATTGGCACATATCAAAGAGAAACTACTTCGGCAGCGGATACTATTGCTAGATATACGTGGAGCAGCCCCTACATAAGCTCATGTATGAGAAATGGCGAATATTCTACTCACGAAGCGTGGTTCTACCCCCATTCAAACTGTCAGCAAGAAATGGGTATACAACTTCATCCAACACCATCCAGAGCTTAGATCTCGCTTTTCACGACAATACAACTACCAGAAGGCATAGCAAGAGAATCCAAAGATTATTCAAAAATGGTTTAACACTTTACAAGCCACAATCCAGCAATACAGTATCCTATTGGATGATATCTATAAATTTGACGAGACTGGCTTCACAATGGGCCTTTGTGAGAACTAAAAAGTGATTACCTGATCAGAATAATACGACCGGAGACCAGTTTTACAGCCAGGAAACCGCGAATGGGTGACCGTGATTGAGTCAGTTAATGCTTCAGGGTGGGCGCTTCCACTGACACTCATTTTCAAGGGAAAGCAATATAATCAAGCATGGTTTAAAGACCTTTTGCCTGACTGGTGCTTTGAGATCAGTGCAAATGGGTGGACATCTGATGATATAGACCTTTGCTGGCTTCAAAAGCAATTTATCCTGTCGACAAATAGTTGTACACGTGGAAAATATCAACTCTTAGTCCTTGACAGACATGGAAGCCATCTTACACCACAATTTGATCAACTCTGCGCAGATCACAATATTATACCAATCTGTATGCCAGCGCATTCCTTGCATCTTTGACAGCCTCTTGGTATCGGGTGCTTTGCGGTTTTAAAGCGCTCATACAGTAGCTTAGTCGGCCCGAAAATGCGGCTCGGGATCAACTACATCAATAAGCTTGACTCCCTTGCAGCATATCCACAAGCTCGTATCAATGCATTCAAAACAGACACAATCAAGAATAGCTCTCAGGCAGCAGGATTAGTACCATTCAATCCTCAACCAGTGCTATCAAAGCTTAGTATTCAACTTCAGACGCCTACGCCACCCGCAAGCCGTGATAGTGAATCAAGCACTTTTTACCCACATACACCCGCAAATGTTGATGAGCTTCTAAAGCAAGCATCATCAATCAAAACATTCCTTAAGCAACACTCAAACAGTCCACCCTCACCCTCACAGGCCGCTTAAACCAGCTTATCAAAGGCTGTCAAATTGCAATGCAGAATGGTATACTTCTCGACGAAGAAAATAAGCAACTACACACCACAAATGCTACACAAAGGCAGAAGCGCGCTCGTGTGAATAGATAGATAGCCCAGAATAATGGTTTATCTGTACAAGAAATGTTAGAGCTTGAGGAAGCTCATAATCAGTTCTTTCAACCAAGAAGAGGACTAAGAGAGGCGCCAGCGCAGGCTACGCAACCACCGGTTACGCGGCGCCTACCTAAATGTGGTAATTGTAGCGAGATAGGTTATAAGAAGAATGCCTGTCCAAGAAGAGATTAAAGAATAAAGGCGTTGTGGTTGATATATATCCATAGAAGTGTAGAAAAGGTGGTTAGGCGGCTCACTCGCTTACATGGCCCACTCACTTGCCGACCACGTTATGTTGGTTAACAAAACGTCGACAGTTCTAGACAAGGGCTCGCTATTGGCACACCATCGAGAAGCTCAGGTACAAATAGACTACGGCGCTCATAGATAGAGAATCAAACGATTCGTTCATTGCCCTACAAAAATCCTCTCTGCTTATAGGTATATCTACGATAGCGATCCGATACCGATTCGTAGCCGAAACGGTCGATTGATCATATAAACGCCTAAGTCCTATACTCTGGCGTTACACAAAGCACCGTGGCTTCGGATACACTCAGAGATTTTGAATGGCTTGTGTCACGGCGCTCTACTAGAGTAATGGAACATCCAACTCATGGGTTCTACCTAGGTAGCTGTCGACGAGAATAATCAACATGAGGAAGAAAGGAGGTGACGCCGTATCTATCAACAAAGCAAACAACTGCATCTCACGTGATAGCCAGCCAACGTGACCAGGCCGTCACAGCTTGGGGGATACGAAAAATAGGGCGATACCAAAGATAGAAGGATGGCGCCAGGTTGCCCTACTACTGTTGGTTGAGGCTCACAGCCCTATCAGTAATCTCACTGACTGTCACGAGCTCGGACCAGTAGATACTAATGAAATGACATTCTATCTAAACCAGTGTAGCCATCGACTAGAATATCGAATCTGGAGAAGAAAAGAGAAGAAGTCCTATATGGTTGTGTGTGGTCTCGCTAAGCAGCTTGTTTGCCTTGGTTGCTTCCATGGCATTGTTTGCCGTGTTGATGATGTTTGCTGATGAAGCGCTGGGCTGAGCCGTTACACTGACCATCACAGCGGGAAGGAAAATCAGATTGTGGCTATGTGCAGATGCCAGGTGACTCGGTGTTTGAGGTGAAAGCAGAATAACCAATGATAAGTCTAATATACCAGGTTGTGGATATTGAGGTTTGCAGCTGGCTGAACTCGCGCGACACCGGGCGCTGCGGAGTGATGGCTCACCTTCTGTACTGTGCACTTAGGCTCCATCCAATATATTGCCCTCACACTAAGAGGCTAGTACATACGACCATAGGGTGTGGAGAACAGGGCTTCCCGTCCGCTCAGCCGTACTTAAGCCACATGTTAAGTGCGGCCAACCGTAAATTCTGCCCTTTGCTCGTTATTGCTCTAAGGGTGATTTCCAGGTGAGCACTAGTTGAGTGCAGGTGATTGGGGTGATGCCTTTACAGTCGAGGGTGAGCGTTGGGGTGATGAGTGGGTGAGCATGGCCTTGCGAAAGCAAACAGTACTAAATGATTATTCGGCATGAATGGGCTGTTGTTTCACTCGAGCATCATCTTCTTCATTTTTCTTTCTTGTATCTTTCTAGAAACAGTTCTGACACTATTCACCTTATCAAATATGTCACATGATCATGGGCATATGGCCGCAAAGATCAAAGGTTTAAATTAATCCAACAACGCCGCAAACTCGCTGAGTCTCAGGGATTTACCACAGCTTATCAACATGAGACAGAAGAGCAAGACAATGTTGTATGCCTAAAGCAAAGGGCTCCTGCCACTGAAGCCATATATTCTAGGGCAATTGAGAACTGGTGTTTGTAAGTAATGCAGATTGACTGTATCTGGCACAGCTACTGAATATGTAGTTTGTGACGACTCATATATGACGGCTCATATATGACGGCTCAACACTGCAACAATGAATGATACATCGCAAATGCTGCTACTCAACCATGTCGGCAACAACCTCTATAAAACCCCTTCATTACCTAGATAGATTTCCTCTTCTCTTTTCTTCTCCAGATTCGATATTCTCGTCGATGGCTACAATAGTTTAGATAGGAACATCGATTCATTATCTACTATTCCGAGCCCGTGACATCATACCCCTTGGTACTGTGACGGTCTCGAGCAATAGGAATCTATTAGTAGACTATCTGACGAAATACTAACATGGAGAAGGAAAGAAAGAGGCCGGGCTTGCCAGCGCTGCGCTATCTAGTGTGCGAAGGGGGTTCCTGCCCTATATTCAAACAGGCCAAAATATACAAACATCTTGCGTTGTTGGTGAATGTCTGTACTCCGTGACAGGTACCAATCAGTGTGCTAAGTCTTCTGGTGGGGATTCCAAAGAATTTCACTAATTCTGTCGCTCGTTGTGTGTCTATAAAGAGGTAACCGTTTGCTCCTGTGTCAGCTAGGGTAGTCAGAGGGATACTAATTCCATTGTAAGCTATCTGACTATTCACATTGAATCCTTGTCCTCCAATCAGTTGACTAAGATCCAATTCACCTAGGTTGACACCATCTAGCCCCAGGTCGAAGACTTTCTCCTGGGCTAGACGTTTCCCGCTTCATTGTCCTGTTCACTCTCAGGCGTCCTCTGCTCAAGCTCCTTCAGTTATGGAGATGCCGTCTTGGTGGGGCAATCCTGTGCAAGGTGGCCTTTTTCCTGGCAGTGGAAGCAACAGCCTTCCTTCATCATTTGACCACGCCCAGCACTACCTGCACGCGGAGCAGTGGGGCTAGTGCTTTGAGATAGAGCTTGTTCTTTCTTGACAGTGGTTCCAGATCGATTGGCTCCCTTGTTGGTATCCTTGTTGGGAGTGAATGTTCGATTCTTCTGGATCCGGTGGTTGATAACTTCAAGGCGGCTTGCAGTCTGCGAGACGGTACTTGAGAACTCCTGGAAGGTGCTCACATGGATGCTACTGGAAATACACAATTCCTGGAGCTTGGTCGTCAGTTTGTTGTAGAGCTCGTCCTTCCAGTCATCCTCAGCAACACCTGCCTCAGCTGCAAGATAGAGGAATTCAGACAGAAAGTCATGGAACTTGTCGCTCGTCTTCATGTATAACTGTCGGAACTGGTGCTTTGCGGTGGTAACACGGTTCGGATTGTCATAGATCATTTTTAGGTGATTAAGCACATCCCTCGAATCAGTGCATGGGTTCATGACATCGTCTCACATGCGAGGGGTGATGTGCTTTCAGGCCTTACCCTCACATCGACTGGCCACATATGCTATTCGGCGTATCGAAGTGGTCAGCATTGGTAGTGAGTTTTTGATTCATCAGGAGCAGCCAGTCCTCAAATTGGGGCTCCTTGCCATCAGTGAGCATCGGGGGGTCAGGAATCTTGGTGGTCTTTCGGTTAATGGGCATTGGAGAGGCTTGGCGGCTATTGGCGCTATCCATCACCAGCCGAGCGATCTGGCTCCCAAATGCATCACTTTCAGCCTTCACTTCAGCAAGCTGCTGTTTGACATTCTCAATTTCCCCAATCCTGCGGCGCAGAAGGGTGATTTCTCCATCCTTGGTTTGACTGCGGAGTTCTTCTTCAGCAAGTCGGACTTTATGGTCGTCAAGCTGGTCATCATGTTGTTGGTGAGTCACTTGGAGCTTCTCATACAACCATTCGGGCTCATCAGAGGCATATTTCAAGGACTCCTCCAAAGTCACCATACGTTGTTTTTCGTTCTCATCTCCCTCAATGAAGATGGGGTTCTGTCGGTTTTCTTGGCCAGCATCGGTATTTGCTTCATCTTGATTGGTATCATTATCATTTGTCTCATTTCGGTTGGCTCTAGTAGAGGCAACAATGGTTCTCGGGCGAGGCATGCTGGTCAGGATCGTTGATTAATCGGTTTTCGGTATTAACCTGGTTCGTTCGGTCGGTCACTATGGGGACACACTGCTATGGTTTCACGATCACTGGATCAAACCAATATAGCAAATGTGCAAAAATAAGAAAGGCGAGATTCGATATTATGTCACGGGCTCGGAATAGTAGATAATAATGAATCAATGTTCCTATCTAAACTATTGCAACCATCGACGAGAATATCGAATCTGGAGAAGAAAAGAGAAGAGGAAATCTATCTAGATAATGAAGGGGTTTTATAGAGGTTGTTGGCGACATGGCTGAGTAGCAGCATTTGCGATGTATCATTCATTGCTGCAATGTTGAGCCGTCATATATGAGTCGTCACACTGAGCTACCCGCTTATTTCATATAGAAATGTGCGTCTGCCAGTGAACAAAAAAAAAAAAAAAAAAAAAAAAAAAAAAAAAAAAAAAAATGAAGCCCAGATTCTAAATGCCTGAAAAGAGATCATCATGCATCCTAGCATCCTTCAAATCTTTCTGACCCTAGAATGTATGTTCGCGCCTAATTGCAGCAAAATGTGGACTCCTGCCTCAAACCCTGTGTCAATCGCTGTATGCAGGGCCGTTCTCCCCGCATTATCGTATGCATCAATGATGGCATGATCGCCCGCGCAGTAGGCTAAAAGCATCTTGAGCAGAGCCTCCCGTCGATGTAACACCGCCCAATGAAGCACCGATCGGTTTCGGCAATCCACGCTACCGATCCGCGCTCCATGCGACAGCAGCGAGCTCACCACATCTTCATAGCCACCAATGGTGGCGTGCATCAGAGGCGTTACCCCGTCGCTGTCCCTCTCATCACAAAGTGGGTGATATTGGAGGAGCATGCGTACGATTCCATTATGTCCCCTTTGAGCTGCCATGTGGAGCGGACTCATCCAGCCTGTTGTCGCTGCGGAACAGGACCCTTCTTCCATTACTGGAACGATAGGATTGGGAATAGTGTGAGACTGGCTTCTGGATCTGATATTATCGAAGGGGGAATTGGGGTTGCCACAGACGGGTGCTCCGAGCATCTGATGTTCGGGCTTCTTCGAGCTCATAGAAAGATCGGTGGAGATCATGGCATCGGTATTTGTGTCACAAAAGTTGTCCATGTCAACGAAATTTATATCGTCTAGGTGTGTATTGAAGGCCGTTGCTTCCAGACTGTCAGTTGGTTCGGTCCATTCAGTGACCGGGATGGTAGGAGAGGTGAGGGATCCGAGGCCGGGGACTTCCTCGGGGGTGAGTTCGGGACAAGGCAGCTCTAGAGGGGAATCTGTTGCTGTGTTTCTCAGCTGTATTGCGGCTGCTTGCTGATTTTGTCGTTCTGGAGATTGAGATTACCGCGTTAGCCCTTTCGTTCTTCACCAATTTTCACGAAACCTTTTCTAGGTATCTGCGACGGGGCCTCACTAACGACGAAATCGGCGCTGTGCTATTCGGTTCTGTGCGCGACGACGCTCCAGCACGTCGTGGTCATCTTTACACTCCATCTATGCGGGTATTGTAATTCATGGTTTAACTAGTCCCAATGGAAGCAGATAGGTAGAGCTAACCAGCTCCGCGTGAACAGCAAGCCAGCCACAAATATATATTGAGCACACAAAGTATCACGGCAGCCTTGAAAGTCGATCACCCAAAAAAAAAAAAAAACGAGATATACAAGTCCGTACTATTGTCGACTTCGTGTCCCATTTCCCTTTCGTGTCCAATTAAGATCAATACTGGTACTCCGTATCACAGCTACAAATCATCTTGTACAGCCCGGGAGTAATGATGTAATCAAGTTCCAGAGATTCACTAGTTGATGTAATCCACTAGTGAGCCGCACAACACCCTGACGAATGTCAGCAAGCAAGCCTACTTTAAACCCCACAAATGCATTTCTATATAAAAAACTAATCACTATTGTGATTAAGACAATCACTGCATCATGGTGATGCTTGTATAGAGTGTTATTCTGCTTTTGGTGCTGGTTCAGCAGGTACAGTAGATATAGCTTCTTCAACCTGATTCCTGCTCTGTAGAAGGCCTTGGCCTTCCTGAATAGAAAGCCCCTCTGTATGAGCTATTGACAACGGGGAAATGCTCAAGACTAGATCAGAACCAGCGGGTCGATATGGCTGTAGGTGAAAAGAACGACGGAAAGAGCAGAAGACTCCGTAGGGAAAACGACTGAGCAAAAAGGAAAGAAAAAAAAAATGAATGAATACTGCGCGTACTGGAACTGCTTCGACGATAACTGAATGAATTGTATGGTAGTTAGTTGGTAGATACACGAAGCGAAACTCTGCGTTGAATACCGCAGGGGACGTCTCCGCCTGGGCCAGCGAAGAATAGGGTTTAGGCGCGTAGTGGGTGTGGTTCCTGACTACAATACATGTGCAGACATCGGAGGCACCTCCCAATTAGGATTTGAGTTCACACTATTTGAAGCAAGCCTTTTTGAATTCACCAATTTTACTGCGCGGCGGAGTTGCTAACATTCCCTATTCCGTATGTATACATACATACATACATACATACATGAATCATATGAGCTTTTTAAAAGTGTTCTGTTCCAACATTGCACAATCCACCGATCTACAAATCACCGAAAAATTTCGCAGATAGCTCATCCTTCGGTGCTGACAAATTCCGCCTGCTGTGACTCGGGTAAGGAAGTGTCTCGGAGCCAATTTGGGGGCCGGATGCAGCCATGACCAACGGCCTGATCCTTCGTGATGGCAGCCTCAGTACGTACGGAGTTGATTCCTCGCTTTCACCCTCCCTATCTCCGGCCCAATGCCCGAGAGTCCGGCTGAAATAATGAGGCGTCGGGTCTAATATAGCGGTCATGTTATTCTTAAAAGGGTAACAAGCAGTTTTTGTAATACTGTAATCTATAGCGAGTACATCGAGGCAGTTGGTTGAACACCTAAGAACAAGACGGTATATGAGTGAGGCATACTCTCAGTATTACTTCTAAGGTTCGCACTGGAGAGTTTACACTCAGTACGATTGGACTATCGAGACTGCATTTTCAGGGCTTTCCAGCCAGAAAAACTCATGCTTACATGTGCTAGGAGAACTCAAAAAGTTTACAGAGTGAGTTATTCTTAGAGTGTCACTTGGGGCGGGCTGGGGCGGGCTTAGCCCAAAAGCCCGAAGCTGATGGCACTATACTCTATTAGGTAACCAGGGAACGCACTAATCTAACTATGGCTAGTCAGTCCAGTATCTTTTGTATTTGTTGTTTGGACTGTAAAGGAGTTGTATATTGTCTATTGATTATGGGTCCCCGAGCCAGGTGGCCTCTTTTATATACATACAGGTCTAGTTCAAATATGGCAGTAGTGCGTTCAGGGTGACAGTACGATACAATACCAATACGGTATAAGGCAGTATCGAAACAGGGACTCCAACAGTATTCCCGTACATCAACATATCGACATGGCATAGAGTGATCGGTCGCAGGCCATATATATTGATATCTATCGATTGATATATATAGAGGACGAATAGAGTAATCCATATATACCGATATATATCGATATAAATAGACATAGATATAGATGATGTTGACATGGTATAGAACAATCCGTATGGCTTTGTATTGGGGTCAGACGGGCCATTTTTGGGCATGCCCAAAAGCCCGCGGGGCGAGCCTTTTGGACCCAGACCCGTAGCAGTCCAAGGACCCTTGACCCAAAGCCCAGCCCGTTGGGCTTTGGGACGGGTTCGGGGCGGGTCTCCGGGTCGTCCGGTGACACTAGTTATTCTTAATCTTTTCGAGCATGATCCAAAATCACAGTACCACTTGGAAGCTGCAAGGAAACAGTTCCGAAAACTGACAAAAGAGCATCGAGATAAGGAGAGAGACACTGTTGGTATCGTGAGAGCGATTGTGAAATGAGTGATGGTGACTAGTGGTTGTGATGGAAATGACCCGAAATGAACTTTTTTTTTTTCAACGCCCTTCCCGATATATTAGTATATCAATGAACAAAAAAGGCCTGTATACTCAGCTGTAACAGGTAACTAGTCAGGAAATGGTTACTACAGCGCTTTCACCTCGGCCATGAGCCGTACATGCTTGAGGTGTTCGTCACCTCACATGACTCAGGTATTTGTGTCGGAAATGTGGCTTAGTCAGGGTTGAAAGTACGTATCAAGCGTATATGTTGAGGTCTCTAATTCTTGCAAAAGTGTGCTAGCTAGGATCCTATATACGACCGTAAATACCTTATAGAGTATACTAAGCGATTGTGCGGTTTCAAAAGCAGTAATAGCAGAGTAAATACGCTGCTTTGCGCCATATGATATCAGCAAGGCATCAATCAGGCATCAGTTGGTATTGTTCGGTAAGGAACCTCTATATTCCGACAATTTGGAAAGCACACATGGACAGTGATTGGCTGTAACGGAACCTAGATAAATCCGGATCCGAATCCCCAAACCACTTCCTTGCTCACTTTGTAGTATCATTTTGGTCCGTTCTACATCAGCTGGCGTATGCCTTGGTCCAATGCATCTCTTCCTGCCTGGTCTTGATGAAGATAGGTTTTACAATATTGTCATTTTTAGAGCAGAAGTAGCACTGCAAACTTCTCACCTACCAAAGCCGGTGTCATTATTACTAAGATTCCGATGTCCTCAACGTCAAGACGACTACTGATACAGCAGCCATGAATCGTCCAATTACCTCCTGTCTCACCTGTCGCCGTCGCAAAGTTCGATGTGACCGTTTGACGCCGGTATGCTCGGCCTGCCAAAAAGGTCATTATAACTGCGCCTACCAATCATCCGGTTCCCCGCAGAGGAGATCGTTTTCTCCTTCATCCACCACCAGAACCGCTCGAAGTCGACAAACTGTTAAAAAGACTAGGTCCGCAGAAAGGTCGTTGGACGGATTGCAAGCTCCCTCTATATACCAAAAAACTACTCCGTTGGAATCATGTGCGAATTCCTCACGTTCTGAGTCTGCTCCGGTTGAAGAAAAAAAGGATCACAGCCAGTCAAATGGCGTGCTCATCCTTGATGAAGAGTGTTCTCGTCTTGTATCACCCTTGCATTGGGCATCAGTCAAAGAAGTCAGTGGATCTGGACAACTAGGTAGTGCCGTTAACCAATCAGGGAATGGGCAAGCGCCTGACCTCAAGGATGTGGTAATGGACCGTACAAAGTCAACAGACCTGACGGCTGTTAGTCACCAGTCTTATGGTGGCTACAAACATCCTTTGCCATACAACGTGCATCCTCCTCACTCGTCATTTATGGGTCTACTGTTGGGCTCAGGGTTAAATGACAACCAGATTGCGCTTTATTACCCAGAAACTTTAGCTGATTGCCAATTTTTCCTGGACACTTTTACCAAGAAAGTTGAACCAATAATTCATCTCGTGCACCATCCAACCCTACAGCAGCATTTTCAAACATATTTATCAAACTTGGAAATTTATGCGTTGCCGGCATTCAAAGACCTCTATGGATTGGAGAAGCCCAGTCACTTTGAGCCTCTGGCATTTGGGATCTTTTTTTCGGCCGTTTATAGTATGGATCCGACAGCAGTGGAAATCAAATTCGGTACATCCAAGTCGGGTCTACTGCGGAGATTCCAAATTGGTATTGAGCTAGCACTAGAAAAGCAGGATTTACTCTCCAGTCCGGCTATTCCAGTTCTCCAAGCCTTTGTCCTTTTCCTGGTATGTCCAGATATCCTTCGTGTTTACAACGGATTTAATTAAAAATTTTCTTTCCCAGACATGTTTGTGCCGTGATGATGATATTCAACGTGTGTGGGCGCTGGTTGGGTTGGCCATCCGGATTGCACAGTCTCTGGGTCTCCATCAAGAGCCAACTCTGTACCCATCAAAAAAGATGGATGCCATCCAAGTTGAAGTCCGACGGA